CATATCTTCATAATCGTACAATCACTCCCCTTCTCGACTATCTTTCACCATATCAAAAGCTTTACTCTAAAGTTCCTAATTATGCCTTCTTAAAAACATATGGATGTCTCTGTTATCCATTTCTTCGTCCTTACAATCAACATAAACTTGACTTTCGGTCCTTTCTCTGTGTCTTCATAGGATACATTACCACACATAAAGGATACTTATGCTACCATTCCCCTTCCAAGCACATATATTGCATGACATGTCATTTTTAATGAAGATATATTTCCATTTTATATCCTTCTCCTCCTCCTCATGTTTCCACTTCTGCCCCGACCACCTCAACACCTACCACCCTTCTAGAACAAGCTGTCATCAACCCTCATTCTTCCCCTTCCCCTCCTTCTTCACCTCCTATTACTCCTGCTAACTCTATTCACAGATCTTCCACACCACCAGTCTCTCTACCAACTTCCACTCCAAATTACCAACAATCCACAGTAAGCTCTAGAGCAGAAAAAAAACTACGGCTTCCACTCACTATCGTCCCGCTGACAAGTCACATCATCCAATGGTTACTAGAGCGTGTACTAATTCCTTAAAACCAAAAATCTTTTCTTCCGAAATCTCTTCTATTCTAACTGTTGAACCTCACACCTTTAACCAAGCAGTTCAATCTAAATGTTGGCAAAATGCGATGCAATCTGAATATGATGATTTAATAATAAATCATATGTGTTCACTTGTTCTGTGTCCCTCCAATGCTAATCTTGTAGGATGCAAATGAGTGTACATGATCAAAAAAATTTTTTGGATGGTACCATTGACCGACACAAAGCTAGTCTAGTGGCTCAAGGATTCAGTCAAGAAGAAGGGGTAGACTACTTTTAAACTTTTATCCCTATCATTAAACCCACCACCATTCGTTTAGTTCTCTCTCTTTTCGTCTCCAAAGGATGGTGTATTCGGCAGTTGGACATTAACAATGCATTTCTCAGTGGTGATTTAAATGAAGTGTTCTACATGAAACAACCACGTGGGTTTGAAATTTCTCAACATCCCTCTAATGTATGTCGTCTACACAAAGCAATCTACGACTTTAAACAAGCTCCAAGAGCTTGGTTCACAAAATTAAAATCATTTCTTCTACAACAAGGCTTTAGGGCGTGCAAATCGGTTACATATCTCTTTGTCCACTTGTCCAAATCTGCTACTATTTATATCTTGGTGTATGTAGATGATCTAATAATTACAGGTTCAAGTGCAGTTCTCATCCAACGGTTCATTAATCAGGTTCATCAAGCATTTGCTCTTAAAGACTTGGGTGATTCGAGTTTTTTTCTTGGTATGCAGATTAAATGTACCTCAGCAGGTGTAACCCTCAATCAACAAGGTTATATTCAGGATATTTTTCACAAAACCAACATGGACAAAGCCTCATCAATCTCTAACCTATTGATTTTCAATCAAGACTTACCCTTGCTGGACCATCTTTCTCTGATCCTCGATTGTATATACAAGTTGTCGACTCCCTTCAATACACTACAATCACCCGACCAGATATTGCATACGATGTCAACAAGGTATGTCAATACATGCATTCTCCGACTACTCTTCACTGTCAGGTTGTCAAGAGAATTTTACACTATCTCTTTTGGATTATTCAGAATTTTACACTACTCTTTTGAATTTTACACTTGATCATTGTTTACACTTTTCACCTACTTCCAAGACATCTCTTTTGGATTATTCAGATGCAGGAAGATTATCCGACAAATATGACAGTCGTTCTCAATATGGTTTTTCCATATACCATGGATCGAATCTTATACGTTGGACATCTAGAAAGCAACGGGTTGTGGCACATTTGAGCACAAAAGCAGAATATCGATCATTGGCTTACACTCCTGCTAAACTAATATGTATAAAGCAACTGTTGACTGAATTACATGCTCCTATTCCTGATCCTACATTGCTACAGTGTGATAATGGTGGAGATATTTTTATGACAAAGAATCATGTCATTAGTACTCGATCCAAACACATTGCTCTTGACTTTCATTTTATCAGGGAACAAGTTGAATCTCAAAAGTTGAGGATTGTACATGTCTCTTCATTTGATCAAATGACTGATGTTTTCACAAAACCTCTACACAAGGATCAATTTGTGTATATTCGACACAAGCTTCAAGTTTGTAAAGATCATGAGCTTGCAGGGGGGTGAAAACGGTCCAGTGAGTTAGAGTTAGTCAATACACACGTGTTAGAGTTAGTCAATACACATGTGTGTACACATGCATATGTTAGACCTGTTATTTAGGATTCAGTTGTATAGTGTCCTATGTAAGAAAGGATTGTAATCTTGTATTAGATCAATTGAATATACACATCTTTGGTACTTCTATGGTGTAAAGATTAGACTTAGTTAAAAAAAACTATACAACCACATGGACAAAATATGTAATTTAATCAATGTTTTTGTATGGTGACATTATGGTAGTTTGTATCACAACTGAATTGAGTTTGTACAAAAATTTGTTATTAGATTTAGTGTTGTGCAATTTATGTGTTTGAGAAAAACTGAAACAGAAAAAAGGAAAAAGGACCGACGACATGTCGTCATTGTAAATAAAACATATAATGATGAAATGGCATCTCTATATTTCTTATTAAGTTATACCAATAACATATGGCTACGAGTTGCCGTCATTCGGTTAACCTATGGCGATTACATGTATCAACGACAAAAGGAATCTATAGCGACAAGGTGTTATATATATATATATATATATATATATATATATATATATATATATATATATATATATATATATAAAAGTTGGCTAGCATGATGTGTTTGTAGAGGTAGTATGTGAAGAAAACTGAATGGTATATGATATATAACATAAAATAAAAAAAATTATGAACAAAATAAAAAATTTCTTGCTGTCATGAGTCGTTTTCCTCTTGACAAAATGGTGAAAGAGGTGATATATTATTAAAACCAGGAAACTAATTAATAAATTGTTGCGATGGTGCATGTCAAGTACTCATAATTACAAGAAAATAAGTTATTTTTTATGAAAATATAATAACAATCATTTTTTCTCATGCAAATGAAACACTTTATCTTGATATCGCCCCGGGCCCCCAAATGCCAAAGGGCCCCCAATTTACATTTGTTATATTGGTTATATGGTATTAGCCCATTAGTTTTAAGGCTATTGGGCTAGATTTTCAAAGCCCAGTACTCTAATTAACCTATGACTGCGTCGATCCAAAAGAGAAAGTGGGAGGAATCGTGCAGCGTCCGACTTCCAAGTTCCAAGGCGCAATTGATATTAATCGATTCCTATGGAAAATCCAAACGACTCTTCTTCAGAATCTAGAAACAATGGTTAGTGAATCAATTTCTTCTCTAATCTCTTTTTTCTTATTCAAGATTTCAAGTGAAGAGTTTTTCTCCTAATTTCAGATCTCCATCTTTTCTGATTTTCTGAGTTTGTCCACAAAAACCAAGTTGTCATGTACCATACTAGAACCAAGAATCAGAGCATCCAAAGTCTAATTGCTTTTCCATCTTTTCATGATTCTAAAAAACTGAAATCGATTTTTAACCTTCATATCTTCGATTTCTAGTTTTCTTTGTCTAAAATAGCATCTGAGAGACTAGAATCGAGAGTAACTCAGACTCAAAATCTTCTTTAAATTGAGACAAAATCGAGAATACTTGACATTGAGACGAAACTGATTATAAGTCTGTAAGTTCTAGTTTATTATAGCCTTCTTGAAATTTTTCTATACTTGTTTGAAATACGATTTTTTTTATGAATCTTTTTTTAACTTCAGAATTTTGTGTTGTGTAGAATCGGAGGAGTATCCGACCTTCTGTGATTGTGAATGGTCTTCAGATCATATTGCACTTTTGGCTGAATTAAAGTGCAAGCCTAGAACAAGAACGTGATGCATTTTCATTTTAGGCAAGTTTTTTTGTATTTTTAATTATGATTATAGGTATGCATGTTAATGAATTGATGATGATGTTGTTATAGATGATAGCGAAAGAGGTTTTTAAAGCACGGTAAGTGAAAAAAGAAAAATGTGATAGAAGTAGATCATTAGTATTTGTTGGCAATTTATGCAATAAGCAATGATCTACTACACACCGTATCATGCTATCTTTTGGAAAAATCAATCATTTTTAGTTTTTTATTTCTTTGTTTTTGATAGAAACTTAGATTGACAAGTATAGTTTAGCTATGAACCTTAAGTTGAAGGGTAAATTTTGGTGATGTATATCTTTGTAATAAAGGTGTGTTGGATGAAACAACATACAAATAGAGACTGTTTTTACTATTGAATACAAATGTGGAAATATCTTTTTATATATAGTTCGTTTCTGAGTTTTCTCTACTTCGTTGTTTGTTTGGAGTTAATATATATATATATATATATATATATATATATATATATATATATATATATATATGTGAAAGGGCTCCATTTTTGTGTTTTGCCCCGGGCCTCAAATTGTCTTGGACCGGCCCTGCATGATATTATTAGTTTCTAGTTTCTACACACTTAATTGTTTGGTTATTTTCATACACACTAGTTTACAAATTCCATACGTTTGATAACATTCATTATACAAATTATTTATAGGCAAAAACCTACTTAATTACATTGTTTTTTTTTTTTAAATCAAATATTACAATTTGCAATCTCCGAAAAACGGGGAATGGTAGAAGCGGGATTGATACCAACATCAATTTTTTTTCCACCTTGAAAGCGCCCCAAAACATAGGAAAATGATGGGATGAAATTCAAAGTTGAAGTGAGAGGTCGCTAGTTCTTTATATCTAACTAAAGAAATGCGACACCTCACATTAGCTTGCACAAATTTCGTTCACTTTGCTTGCATGCACGTATAAATATATACCATGCACCACATATTCTTTGTTTCAAAGTGAACTTGAAATTACTTTCAACAATCAATATTCAACATATATAGTCTAATGGCCAAAAAGCTCAATTTTCTCCCCATCGTTCTTGTTCTAGTTCTTATTACATTCTGTTTCTTGGCTCATGGAATCGAGGCACACGAGACTGGAACCGACGACAACAAGATGGAAGGTTCAAATCCAGAAGGGCCTGGACATAAGGATACGGATAACAAGATGTCAGGACCAAGTCCCAAAGGGCCAGGACATGCGGATATGGAGGACAAGAAGGAAACTAATGGCGGATATAGGAAAGAAAAATTAGGATATGCCGCTTTTAGTTTAATTATATTAACCGTGTCAAAATGTATGCAGGTATTGGAATTCTAGGCTCGGCCCATATTATATAAAACAAAAGAAGGCCTTTCGAATAACTGAAAAAAATGTCAAGATTTAAAATATGGTCTCTTGAATAAATGTCGAGCTAAGATGTGGAGTCGCAAGAAGATTACATTTTTGCTAAATGTGAAGTTGTGGTTGACCTTTGGAATAAAGTTAAGATCTGGTGGGGGGTTTCTCTAACTACCCCAACCTTCGGATACTAAAATGGTTTCTTCGGTTGCTGATTCATGAAGGATACTAAACCAAACAGGGGGTCATGCATTGTTTGAGTCTATTACACATACATATGGCGTTTGATTGGAGTTTAGTAGGTGTTGAGGTTACAAACTAGATTGCTTGTCCCGATAATTTGCCCAAATATGGCTACCTCTGGATTGTAATTGTTGCAACTATTGTTTCTATTATATATTTTTTTCTTTAGTTTCTTGCTAGTATTTAATTTGTCATAAAAAATGTTGAGCTAACTATAGATTTTTTTTGAATGACGAAAACCTACAAGTAACTATCATTAATCACCAAAGGGCTTCTAGCCCAGCGGTACCGGGTGTTGCACACCTCCTAGAGGTTGAGGGTTCAAGTCTCATTGTAGACATAGGTGGTATATATATATATATATATATATATATATATATATATATATTGGGCTGATATTAATTGGGCTGAAGTGTTATTATTCCGACGATGACACGTTGATTTCTCTTTGATCGTCATTGTCTTCTCCGATTATCATGTTAATATGAAGAACACCAACGGAATCGAGATTCTTCTACTAAAATCTTCAATATTCGATTCAAGTCATACGAAATCAGGTTAGATTCGGATCAAAAACTTATATTTTATTTTCTACTAAAATCTTCAATATTCGATTCAAGTCATACGAAATCAGGTTAGATTCGGATCAAAAACTTATATTTTATTGTTAATCAAAAAGTTATGTTTCAAAAAGCGTAAAATTAGCTTTGATCATCAATCAAATTCGAAAAAAACCGAAACAAACTGAAATTGTCATCGTTTTTCCAAATTGAAATTCGAACAAAACCGAAAAAATCTTATATAGTTGTATATTACAACCATCTAATGCATAAATAACTATGTATACCTAAAAGTGTTCTATACAAATCACAAAAATTATTATCGGTGATCAGTTTTTCCAATATTTACAACATATGTGAATTGATTACTATTTTTTCAGAGAAACTAATCATGACTGAATTTAAACGTATATTGGTCTATTAGCATGTCCCATGCTTGTTTATACACCATTAATCGAATTTAATAATATTTTCGGTTTGAGTTATTTATTTTTGACAAAATTACAAAAAAGATCCATGTAGTTGTTAGGGTTTTATGTGGAAAAGTCTCCTTATTTTGGAAATTTTTTTTGATAAAGTCCTAAAAGTTTTTTTTTTTTAACAGAAAAGTCTCATTATTTGGAAAAATCACATAATCTATAATTTCCTATTAAAATATAAAAATGACTCTTTCGTTAAATGGGCAAAATGTTTAAAAAATCGGGACTTTTCCGTTCAAAAAAAAAAACTTTTAAGACTTTATTAAAAAAATTTCCTGAATAATGAGACTTTTCTACATAAATCCCTTAAAGTTATGTGGTTTTGACCCAAAAATGTTTGATGAAATACTTTAATTAAATTAAGACAAAATTGCATCTCTCTCTCTCTCTCTCTCTCTCTCTCTCTCTCTCCACCACCATTTACCGCCAACCACCTCCATTTCCCCCACCCCCACCTTTTGCCGAGAAAATCAACCCAAAAGCTTTGTCGAGCTCCACCATCTTGTCACCATACACGAAGACCTAAAATGTCGAAAAATCGACAGATTTAAAGAAGATGACTTCACCTCTCGCTTCTTCTTCGGTGTATGGATCAATAGATCGACATGTTTAAAGAACAGATCGGTGGCACCTAGTAGTTTACGACAACTTTACAATATAAATTGGAGGTGGCAGACGGTGGTGGTAATCGGGGTGGTCGTGGATGGTAGTGACAGATAGGTGGTGGTGTCCATGGTAGATCCCGTTTTTCCGACGGCGATGCTAGGATTTTCTACCATGGAAGGAGGTTTTATCCGGCATGCAGTGATGTTGGAGAGAGAGAGAGAGAGAGAGAGAGAGAGTATATATATATAAAATAATAATAGTAATAATAATAATAATAATAGTAATAATAAATGTCTCTACAAGGGAGAAATGGGTGGGTTAGAAGGAGTGGGGTGGGTATGATTTTTCTTTTTCTCATTTTTTTAATTAGAATAAATAGAAAATAATTAAAAGAAATTAAAAAGAACTACTTAAACCATCTCCAACCTTTAACATTATTTTTTTTTATATTATACCTACAATTATAGTGTAAAAGATAATGTAAACATTAAAGTCTTCTAATTCATTACATTATATTTAACACTAAAAAGAATATTTTAAGTATATTGTTCTTTATTCAACACTATATTTAATGTTACACTAAAATTCAACACTATATATAATGTTACACTAAAATCCATATTATATATAGTGTTAGGTATAATGTAGGTTTGAGCATGTAATTTATAGTGTAAAAGTGAAATTTTTAATATAGGGTAAGAGATGCCCTTAAGAGAGAATTCGTCATTTCAAGTTCGTTATAGACCAAAACCACACAAAAAAATCAAACCATTTGGACGATAACGGTACAAAGTATCCAAAATTAGATCACTAATACATCACCAAATCTTTTTGGACCAAAACCACGTAATTTTAACAACCACATTGACATTTTTGCAATTTTCTTTTTATTTTATTTCAACATGATTATTGTAGTTTAATTTATTACAGTTATTAAATAAAAGATCATTTGTATTTGTTATTTATCACGTATAAACATAGAGGTAAAACAAAATCCAATGTTATATAATAACTCAATAACATCTAGATCAACTTAAAATCATCATGATAGACGTTATATAATCAACAAATCAAATCTTGACACAACCCATGCAAATTTAAGGTGCTTCGAAACATATTCAACACAACAAAATACTCAAACCTACCAAAATGTTCATATCTACTTTGTGTTCTCTAAAAATTTACTTACACTACCAAAAAAACCCACTACTTCCACAAGTTTTCCCCATTCTACACAAATCAAATACAATATAACAAAGCTTTTCAAGACACTTACTTGGTCAATGGTTATTCTATAAACAGTCAATATCAATACTATCTTCTCATTTCTTGTTGTATAAACTTCAATCAATACCATCATGTTGTTAACATCCCATTGATGCGAATGAAGATTGTTATAGAAAAATGGATTAACATTTCTAAAAACTCTAATCTTCGATTTGGAAAAGGTCAATAGTCAATGGGGTTGTATGGCACACAAGAAGATTAAGCCATGGTGTTTATTTTCCAATATAGGCATACCCTTTATTGAGTAAGTGGCTAAACAATATAGAAGGTAGACAATCTCCATGATTTATGAGATATAATATAAATACCAAATATGCCCCCGTACATGTCATGGCCAAAAATCCAAACAAGAACCCGTTGACCTCAGCCACAAAAAAGTCAAGCAAAAGGTACCCATTGATCACCATCACTAAAGCAGCTACACTCCATGCAATTCTCTGATTCACATTCAAGAAAAAAAATATATATATATATAATCCCATATTCTCATTTATGTGTTTAAGATATAAAAAAAGTTAAAGAATCATCATACTTCATAATACCTCTAAAGTAGGTCCAATTTTGAAGACACCCATGACTTCCTCTTTAGACACCAAGGTCAAAAGTGGAATAAGAGCAAAAGGGATCTGAATAGACTGAAGAACATTAAGCCATTCATTCAACACATCAAGTGAAGCTTCTGATTTGTTGAAAACAAGAGCTACAATCATAGTTGGAACAATTGCACAACTTCTTGTTATCAAAGCCCTCAACCATTTCTTCAAACGAAGGTTAAGAAATCCACCCATGATAAATTGACCAGCATAAGTACCTGTGATTGTACTACTTTGTCCAGCTGCTAATAACCCAATTCCCCAAATATACAAAACTGGCATAAACCCTCCTCCATATTTCTTTTCAAGATACTGTCCAGCATTTACAAGCCCTATACTATCAGCTTGTTTAGTTCCATAAAACCCTTTAGCAAATACAGTAGTCACAAATAGATTGATCATGAAAGAAACCAAAAGGGCAGCAGATGACTCGATTGTGTAGTAATTGATTGCTTCTTGTACTCTTCCTTTCTTCTTTGGGTCGATTTTTCTTGATTGGACTAAAGCAGAATGGAGGAATACATTGTGAGGCATTATGACACATCCTACTACTCCAACTGCTTGTCTAATTGTTCTTGAGCTGAGTTTTGGAACCAAAAGACCTGTGGTTGATGGGATATAAAGATGAGTGATTTGATTACTATGGTTGGAATGTTAAATATGTTATAGAAATGTAACCTATTAGAAGTTCTTTTCCACTAGGTTGTGCATCAGCAAACATCCATGCAAATGATAGTCCCATAGTTGAGATGAGAACTGCAAAAACAGCTTCCAAATTCCTCACTCCATAGTTCTCAAGAAGTAAAAACATGAAACTGTTGTTGAAGGTGATGGAAAATAACAATAGTTAAACCAAGAATCAAGAGGGGAAATTGGTAGATTACAATGAACAGATTCGAAGAGGAGATTAATGGTGAGATGTACATTATATTCATTGTATTTTCTATGTTCAACTCATATTCAGATACATATTCTACAGGGTTCTTCTCAGTATCTTAGTTAATCATCAATTTTCCCTTGAAAATGCAATGGATATATATTCTAAAGCCGAATTATACGATCTAGCAGAGAGAGTAATAGTAAATCTCATAACTTTATAGCAATTCTAATTTCTAGCAGTCTATCTCAATTTTCACATCACAGATGTAAGAGTGGGATTAAGGAGAAAACTAACCAATCAGAAGCAGTGATGATGACTCCAACCCAAATAGGAAGAACCCCATTGCTAAGAATCTGTATAGCAATGGCACTGCCAATCACTTCTTGAATGTCAGCTCCAATTAACGCTACCTCGGCCATGAACCACAACAGCAATCCAGCCCACTTAGGATATTCCTCTCTACAAAGCTCCGCAAGGTGCTTCCCGGTAGCCACCCCAATCCGGGCGGACAACAGCTGGATCAGGAGACCCATACCCGTCGCCCACATCAACAGCCACAAAAGAGAGTAACCAGCAATGGCGCCAGCCTGAAGATCCCCCTCTAGGTTTCCCGGATCTAGAAACGCGATGCTCATTAGAAACCCTGGCCCCGTAAATAACCATAGCTTCTTCCACGAGAACGGTGGCGTAGAGTTGCAATCAGCTGAATCAGAATATGAATCCAAGCCGTCTATTATGATCTTTTCTTGAGACTCGTACGCAACCTCTTCGTCATCCGAGGTGCAATTGTTGTTAGGATTGGTGTCGGTGGATAAGGGGAGGGGTGATTTGGAGATTAGTAGGAGGCGTTGATCTTCTTCTTCGCCTTCAGATTTTGACTCTGTATTGAGTTCCTCTTGAGGCGGCGGAGGAGAATCGTGGATCATCTTAAAGATTCGCCGCCGGCGGGAAGAGTTGACGACCGGAGCCTGAAAGATAAGACGTTTATTGTTATTTTTACAAGGAAAGGGAATATAGATTGATTACGAATAGAGCTCGTTAATGTATGTGTGCGTGTGTGTATATCGTGAGAAACGATAAATCAAATAAAGTTTATTTTATTTTATTTATATTTATAAGAAGATTTAAAGATAAATAATAAAAATTGTAAAGTTCAAAATTAAATATGATACTGGTCGTATACCAATATACCATTTCAACATATAGGATCATAAGATAATTATTATTATTTTTTTTAAATTCTAATATTTTTTATTGGACTAACATCTTAGAATATTCTTTTTGAACTCTTTATTATTAAATGATTTATTGTGTATATATTTTTATGTTTTAAAATATTATCGTTAAATGAATGATTAATTGATAGATAAAAATATATTTTTTATGTTTTAAATATTTATGATATAATTTATTTCTTTGATTCAGGTTACTTCAAACTACTTCTATTGTTCTTATAACAACTTTGAGATGAGGTTGATATAATAAAATACCTTATGAGTTTTATATAGGGTTATCATCACTGTAGTCCAATAATGTTTCGTATATTGGTTTAAATGGTTCATCGTGACTTTTTTTCCCTTTGAAGGGTACAAATTCATGTTTTTAGGGTTTAACAAGTTGTTTTGAAAAAAATGAAGGGGTCACTCGGTGAACCCCTTCCTAATCAGCAGGTTTAAAGTTAAAAAATGTGACCTTATCAGACACATCCCTTATCAATTAAGATCTCTCTCTCTCTCTCTCTCTCTCTCTCATCCCCACACTGCCGGAAAGCCCTAATCCCCCATTTCATTCCACTGGTGACTGCCTCTATTATTCCATTTACCCTTTGTTCCAACACCGCCACTAATCCACCAGAATCGTCCACCAGGTTTAAGAAAAAAGATTCAAAATCCACTTTAGGATTTTAAGCTATCAAATTAGTTAAATTTGTTATACTTTTGTAAAGCTCTTCGAGGGTACATGGAAGATTGACTCATTCAACTCAGTGCCAAATGATTCCAGTATGATATATGGACCAACGCTCCTACAAGTGTTCTCCAACGAAAACATATTTTCCTTAGATTAATGTGTCTAAGCTCTGACGAAAACGATCAGATTTTGTGTAATAATGCAGTTGACGATGTGGTGATACGGGAAATCGAAATCAAAGATAGAATTATGCAAACTAGTAGAGTTGTGTTGAGAACCCCCATCGAAGAAGATGAATACACCACCACCACCGTCGCTACTAGAAAATGGTGAACCACTGCTTCCGCCACCTCCTCCAAATGAATTACTATAAAACTTGACGACACTCATGCCGGACAGATCTGCACTGCCTCCTACTCTCTTGAACCTCGAAGGTGTGAAAGTTTCATCGTCACAGAGTAAAAGGGTTTGCCTGATTTGAAAGATTTAACTAATTCAAGAGATTTGTTTCTTGAGCTCTATTCTTTCGTCATTTTAAATGGTAAATTTGTGTTCACAAATCGAACAAGTATCGAGGGAAATGGATTTGATTTCCAACGGGGTTAATCAAATTATGGGTTCATAAATTAAATGGTGTTTGAAGCATCCATTTGGTGCATAGAAAACGACCTAAAAGATTGAATTTCGAGGAGGAGAGAGAAGCGAAAAGACAAGCAAGTCGCAAATTTAAAGACGACTTTCTTTAATGAACTTGACTCATCCATCCATGAAGTAGTATTTGTCTTTGATTTTAATGTATTTGATACTCCATTCAAAAACAGATTTGTTCTTGAGAACAATTGTTGCTCTCTTGTTGTTGTCTTTTTCTAAATACTCTTCGGCAAAAGCAAGCAACAATGACTGCAAAATATGATGAATAACTAAAGAGCTATGTAATGAGAAGCAAAAAAATGGTTTTGTGTGTGTGAGAGAAAGAGAGAGAGGGAGAGAGAGAGAGGTTGTTGCAGTTGACTAAATGGGAGTAATAACGCTTGACTTATGTGACAACGATGAGTCGACTCACTACTGAGTCATTGTTGACTCACCTATTTAGTTGGCAGTTAACAAGGCAGTGTAACATTCAAAAATGGGTAAAGGAACGAAATTAACCGATAAAACACAAGTTTATACTCTTCAAAAAAAAATCACGAGGACCACTTAAACCAATATACGAAACATTGTTGTGCTATAGCGACAATAACCCTTTTATATATGATTTAATTAAAAATCATTTTGAACTTTTATAAGTCATTTTCTTTAAAATTTACTAAATCATATAAGATTAATATCATAAAATATACCTTATCTACTGTGTCTTTTTCCGTATATTTTTTCTTTGAAAGGATCTCTCATTTGTTTTTCGAAAAAAAAAGCATCAACCTTTTATTATTTATTTTTTTTGTAAAAACCTTCAACATTTTTTTAAAACCCTCAACTTTTTATTTCTTTTTTTAGAAAAAAAAAACTAATAAAAGGGTCAAATAAAAAATATAAATTATTTTTCGAAAAGGAAGATAAAATTTAATCGGAAAAAAAATAAGATATCCCTGTATAATATGTTCCCAAAAAATGACTTAAACTCATATACTAACTAGTGTCAGACCCGTCCGGTGGCCGGGTCGACCGGTGTAAAAATGATCATTATACCCTTGACAATTTTTCTTTTGTCCAATCAGCTTTAAACGAAGTTTTTCTACCCGTCGGGTGGCCGGATCGACCGATGTAAAAATGACCGTTATACCCTTGACAATTTTTCTTTTATCCAATTAGCTTTAAACGAAGTTTTTCTGCCAACTTCAAATGACCACTTTGACTTTACTTTCTTATCTTCGTGAAGATCCTATTATACAAAATACAATTTTCTTTTGAAATATGGCTCCTAATCCGTGAGAACAGAAAATTAAGTAGCTAGTATTGGTTAAAAGAATTAGTATGTTGTTATTATTGGTTAAAAGATATGTATGTTGTTATTAATGGTGAAAATAATAAGTACGTTGCTATTATTGGTTAAAAAGATAAATGAATTGCTATTAATAGATTAAAATTAATATGTTGTTATTATTGGTTAAAAAGATAAGTGCATTGCTATTTATGGTTAAAAGATAAGTATGTTGATATTATTGGTAAAAAAGATATGTGTATTGCTATTATTGGTTAAAAAGATATGTGTATTGCTATTATTGGTTAAAAAAATAAGTATGTAGCTTTTAATTGGTTGAAAAGATAAATGTGGTTAAAGATTTTTGACCAATAAAGTAGTGATTTACATGGTATAACTTGATGAACTTGCAAAACGAATCTTTTTTTACAGCTATTTAAGTAAAAAAAATTATGACCAAAATCGCTCGGATAGCAAATACAGTATGTTCCACAAGGATTTGTACGCAATAATCTACATGTAAATATGATTGGTAACAACATCAATGCTAGAAAATTGGATATACAACTTATATCCCCACCATGCTCAAACGATCAAATCTTATACTACCAACGAACAACCGCATAAAAATCCTCCTGAAAAGATCAAAACATATAATAAAAAAACAAACCTTAAACTAAACAAAAAAATAAAATAACTAAATTGGAAAATTTAGCTACTTGGATCCCATAGAGCAAATATTGAAGTGATTCATTGTAGGAGATATTGGTTCCTCTAACTCTTTTTTTTGCAAAAGGTTGCATCAAAAAGTGCATAAAAATAAATGAGCTTCCATCCAATCGTATACATGAAAAAAAAATTAAAATCTCAAATATTCCACCGATTTAGTTTCGTTTTCAATTTCCAAAATAAAGCGATTTTCTATGATGCACGGAAACTTCAACTTGGTCTCCGTTCCCGAATCCGATACTCCATGGAAACGAATACTCCATGGAAACACCTAGGAAACGTTTCCATGACGTATCTGGTAAACACGATCCGTTTCTGTGCAGTATCCACCAAGTTTCCATTTTATTTAGGGTTTGCATGGGCCTTTTCAGTCCAACAAAGTCTAATGAGCTATATTAATCGACTCTTAACTTAATACCCTACAAGCCAAAGCTGATCGTCCCTCAAGTCTATTTACTATATATATATATATATATATATATATATATATATATATATATGTTATTACATATTTTTTATATTTCCGTATCCGTATCTTGAATTTTTGAGTTTTTTTGTTTCCTGTTTTCGTTCCGTATCTGTTTCCGTGCAACTTAGGCGATTTTCCATCCCAATTCTTACAAAACAGAAGCCGTAAGTAGGAGACAGTGTCATGGAATCAGGATAGTAGCAGGACATCGCCATTTCCATAATCACCCTTTGAGTTTTTATTGGTAGCCTTTTCCTCTCGCTTATACCCTTTTACTTCCATTTCTGTATTTGGTGGTTCAGTGGTTGGTCATGCACACAGAAAAAACATATATCATTCAGTAAGAATAGAAATTCAAAACCTAAACCCCCTTCAAATTCCTTTTATCACCATATAAACCAATAGAAGTACCAAATTACACGAACATGTATACTTCCCACTTAAGTTGGTACTTGGTCACGTTTTGCTTGTTTCCCCAACAACAACAGACGTAGGGAAAGTATGAAGATGTGTATTTTTATGGATTTTTGAAACCCTGCAAGAATAATACATTCATATGAACTTTAAATATGAAATATTAGTAATGAAATTAAAATCTAAAACGCTTAGAAAAACTCAAATTGAGAATCAATCAATATGATTCTCTTTTATTTAATATACATGTGTTAATTAAATCTGAGACGATCAGAAACAATTTGAGAACCAACTTACAATAAAAAATAAATGCAAGATATAACAATGAACTTCCATATGACTGTCTAATATAACATCATACTGTCATACTACTTCTTAATTTTTTTGAACTTTTTATTTTAATAGTTCAAACCATTGTACTCCTAAAGTAGAATGCTTAAATAAAAAAAGGATAAATTATATTAAATTAAATCAATTTAAGAAATAGAAACAAAATTTCAATGATATAATTAGACAAACAAATATAAGTACATTGATATTTATTGCATTTAGCCCAATCAGGGGCTAAATGCAAGAGATAACAACCGGACTAATTGCAAAAAATAGTAATGTACTACCATTTTTTTTGTCTAATATATCATCATACTTTCATTTCTCATTCTTAACTGTTTAAATTTCATTTTAATGTTTTTTCTTTTTAAACATTGTATTTTCAAAATACAATGCTTAATTAAGGAAAGGAAAGAAAAAATAAAACAAACTTTAAAAAAGTTGACAATTAGAAACGAAAGTTAGATTCTATAATTACACAAACAAATGAAAAGACATTTCATGAGCCCAATCAAGGGCTAAATTCTAGGTATAGAAATGTACTTCCATTTTTATCTAATGTAGTATCATACTTTTAAAGATAAAATTCGAAAAGAAAAAAAAACCCTGTTTTTGTTACAACAGTCCTAAGTCATAGTAACTAAACCCATGCATGCGGAAGAGAACATTTTTAATAAAAATTTCAAGTTTTAAAATTTTAAGAAAAAAAAATCATATAAGGTAAATAAACTCTAATTTCACCGATGTAAATCTTTCTTTATCTAAAAATAGCCCCTCCATTTGTGCCGTATAGGCAATATTTATCAACAACAAAAAACATTTACACATCAGCACATGGTTTCTTAATTTCTGGAAAAACCTTCCGGATGCATACATGAATCATCTAAATAGGACAAAATGTTTTTGTTCTTATAATCACTAATATGTCCAATAGATCCACTGGTATCCCATGAGGACTAAACACATCAGTTACCCTTTAAATACACTTTCAAATCGCCAAGTCAATAAATGTCTTAAATACCCTTTAATGATAAAAAAAATAGGAAAATAAATTACCTGACACTGCATATCCTTCTATTTGTGGCATAAATCACAATTGGAGATGATGAACTTTCCAAAGCACGATTCAAGTAAGAAAAATACTCCATGTCCAACATATGTACCTTTAAACATATTTTAAAGTAATCACTAAAAAAAAGAGTTTCATAGAAAAGGTATATAAAAATACCTCATCGATGAATAAGATATCACAGACAACCTCTGCAACCCTTCATCAAGATAACGATTAACAACCTTAAAATAATAAAAACAAAATGTGATTCATTTAGAATTAAGAGGTCGGTTATAAAGAAATTAAATTCCTTATTGATTTATTGTAGTTATTTGTCTGTAATTTCAGATTTCTTAGCTTGATCTTTTGACCAATTAATGACAATATATACCTTATCCACCTTGAAGGCGTGCATTAACATCAAGATTATGAAGTGTAACATCCTGATTGAAGGAATTTTGGATAATGTGTGACGATAAAATGTCATAAATATTAATCAAATGGAATTATATATAAAAAATGGTAGACCTAAACTATTTCTTTCTTTGAGAGTTGCTACCTTCACATGCTTCTCATGCACCTCCAAATGGACAAGTATCATAATCCTGACTCAGATCAAGAATGTAAAATTTAGATAGATATTGTTTATATTCATATACACTAAGTCAAAGCCTCAACAATCATACCAGGTACTTCACCTACAAAACCAGGAAAAGCTTTTAATATAATTACCAGTCAACATTGTAGAATTGTTAGTTTTCCTTCCATTTCCAACTTTCCATCTAAATCCCTATAATAGACACCAAATGATATTCATAATTAAATTGAACATTAGACATAACAGTAGAATTTGTTTCATAATTGTTTGTGCACAAAGATTTGTAAGTTCTCCAATTGCAACTGTATTTGCTATAAAAGAGAGACCAAAGCATTGTTTAATTGATGACATTTTGCTAAAAATTGGGTCAAATACAAAAAATCCATGTATTTGTACCATGACAGTTTAATTGATGGCAATTTTAAATACCTTTACTTGAAAATGATACAGACTAAACTTAAGATACTTAATGGAGAGTGGAGACATGACTTAATCTGGTAAGCTATAGATGAGTGTTTTTCTTTTTTGACTTGATGCAAAAAAATTGATTTAATGTAGAAATAGATAGTTAATGTTTCTGTTTTACAAACTTTTATGAGGAAAAAATTTAAAATCTAGTAAACTCACCTATTACTTCAACCAAAGCATCACCATTTTGACTGAAAGAGATCCCAGTAGATTTTATATGCATCAGCAACATAAACACAACCCTAGGAACATCCAAATAAGTTAGGATCACTTTTACTCAATCAAACATAACAATAGAAACAAAGAAAACAGGATTACATATAATTTCAGTAAAAGAAATTAGTGAATAGAGAGAGAATCATTACATCAAGAAAGCCTAGCAAGGAGCCAGCTAATGAACCTGCAACAACCAGAAGTCAAATATCACCTACTCAGTATCAGACAATGAAACAAATGGATGTATTAGAAAACTGCAAGTGAAAACATGGTCATTCATTATATACACCAAAAGAAAAATAAGTAGCAGGTTAATCATTTTGATTAGCTTCTGTTTTGGAGATTAGCATTAAGCAAGCAGCAGTCAAGATAATTGTCCTTCCAAATACAACCACAATGTTGGAACTTGAGAAAATAAAAGCCATATGTAAATGAGAAATTAATAGATTCAATGTGAATATTTACTTTCAGCTTCTATAAGAAATATGAGAAAATGATATGAAGTGATGATACATAACAGTTGTTCCGGTATCTTTAGCATTTGGCTCTTTTGACTGAGTATTAAAGAGAAATGATTTTGTTCTTCAATTTGGATATCAGATGTGTCTGCAAAAAAGTACAAATCCACAAAATATAATTAAAAATACTAAAAATGATTATATATTGCATAAATAGCATAAATATGTTTTAACTCACCAAAAGGTTAATTAAGTCGTGCTCAAATCCAATTTGAGGCGCAAATTTTTTTGCCACGATTACACTTGATGCCTTTAGTGTGAGTTATCAAATGACCACCATGAGGCCAAAAGATTTCATTCTTCATCTGCACTTCAAAAAAGAAGTATCTTATCAAGAAAGTAACGCTATGAAATTACCCCCTAAAAATTAAAAAAATATATTGGTGAGTTATCTTCTAATGATTACATTTGATGCCTTATTGTGAGTTATCAAACAACCACCAGGGAATAATCCATGAACAATATAAGGAATTGTATAACCATAAGTTTTTTTGAGGAATAAACTCAAAACAGTTGGTGACCATAATACTAAACATTCCCAGATACCTATTTCCAGATGCCAATTACCAAGTCTGAATGATTTGAAATAAACATTTTCAAACTTAAATAAATAAAGTGAAAAAATGACTTTACTTTAAATCATAATCAAGTTTCCCTGCCAGTGCGACCAACAATGCAGTTTTTCCTCCACCTGGTGCACTTAAAACCAATGCCAACCAGCATTTAATCATGATTACCATCTGCCATCGCATTGAGAAGACTAAAAAAACGACATGAGGGTTTAAGATGGAGAAGAGAGAGGGATGCAACCTAGTATTGGACGAGAGCAAGAGAAAGTAAAGGTGAAGGTGTGATGAAAAAAACCATGTTACAGAATATTATGAGAGAATATGGAGAAATCAATATCTGAAAACATAAACATCCTTACCTTTTCAGATAAGCCTAAAACCAGCAGTCTTCACCTGTAATTGAATAATGGATGTGACCTTATGCTTTTATGGAGAGAGAGAGAGAGAGAGAGAGAGAGAGAGATAGAACAATGAAAGATGATAATAAATTTTACTCAATGAGTTAGTTGCTGCAACTTACAATTGTGCATTCTTAGAAGTTTGAATTCAATCTAGCAACGATTACCTCAATTCCTGAAAGCAATAGTAGAAATTAGGATTTTGTTCATCGGAATTACAACATGAGCACCGTGGTATGCTATGAGGATTCACGAAAACTTGCAGAAACAGAATCAATGTTATTTTACCTTCTCGACCGAACCAACTAATGAATGGGTGAATAAACAATGCAAATCCCATCAATAATCAACTCCAGTAGCGGATTAAAACCTAAAAGATGAAATCGATTTAAGCCTATCGATTGCGGAACCAAAAAAGGCATGGAATTAGCAGACAACAGTCAAAGATAACCCTTCAAATCAAAACATACCTGAAAGAGACAGTCGAGAGAGAGAACCAAGCCAACCTCTACCTTCGATCCTTGTAATTTCTCTTTGGATTTGATGTGCGAAGATAATGAAATCATCAGAATTGGCAAAAACATTAAATCAAACGAATAAATTATTTTTACCAATCGAAACAAACAAATGCAATGAGATACAAACTATGGAAATCGAGTAAACAAATGAATTTTTACCTTCAGGTGAAGCTATGTCAGACGAATCGGAAGCCATTGGATCAACAGAAGCAACTATTTTTTCCAACAATTGTCAATCGACAACTATGATTGAAGCATTTACAGTGAAATTCAACTCTTTATATAGGCAAGACAGTTAATCAAAATCACCTGATTTCTTGCAATCATGGAATCGTGGGGGAGACGAACCAGGAAGCGAAACTGCAAGAAACGGCCAAAATCGAGTTTATGCGGACGAGATTGAAAGAACGTGGAGTTTTGATGGCTGAGATTTTGAGGACGACCCCGTCGTCAATAGTATTAATAATTGTTTGGTATCAAATTGTAAACAAGATTCGCAGATTGAAGAAACTACTAGATATTTTGTTTTGAATTTCACATGTTAAGCACCTTAAAACCGGGTCCCCTGGGCCTTTAATACGTAATAGGCTCCGGCATTGGCCCAATGGTCCAGACAATAAATACATTGATCAAACGTTTGAAAAAAAAAATATAAATAAAAAGTAGTTGTAATAGTCCTTCAATAGACAACACTAATCTCTCCGAGGGAGATCTTAATTAAACTACTTCCAGTGCATACACACATACACTTATGAGAACATGAACTATGATCACATAAACATAGATCAACAAACGTGATCCAGACATAAAATTCACAAATATTTTGTAATTGTATAGAAAAACCACAATCATGAACTTGCTTCTGAATAGACAATAGCCCACATGACAATGGACTCACACATGCAACAGTAGCTTCTCCATCTGTAAACGTGGTTTACACTTGGCTACAAGTGGTTCAGCCTTAGGCATGTTGAGCCCAAAACCTTCGGTCATATCAATCATCTTTTCACTCACCCTTTCCCACTCAAAGCATTGAATAAGCAACCCCAAAGTCAACCCAATTACCCGCATTGCCAGCCCTTCCCCAGGACAACTCCTCCTTCCCAACCCAAATGGGATAAACTTAAACCCGTCTCGTGTCCCTTCCACCCCTTCAAATCTTTCAGGGTCGAATCTTTCCGGGTCGACCCATATATTCGGGTCATGATGTATGGCCTATTGATTGACAAGTAACATTGTGCCACTTGGGATTTTATAGCCACCGACGATACAATCTTCTGATGACTCGTGAGGGACGAGTAGCGGGCCCGCCGGATACAATCGTTGGGTCTCGTTTATGATACAACGGAGGTAAGGGAGGTTCATTACGTCTAATTCATCAATAAGTTTGTCTGTACCAATGACTGTATCCATCTCGTGTTGTGCCTTTTGTAAAACTTGTGGGTTGTTTAGCAAAAGTGACATAGCCCATTCCATAGTTCCAGCCGAAGTATCGGTTCCACCCGATAACAGGACCTAATCGATCAATCACAATAATCATTGATTGTATTAGATCCCGCATCGAAATTCAAAAGCAAATCATATATATAATTGTAATGAAAAACAATTTATACATTCATTTAAACTCTAATTATCACCGACAGATTTATGAATTAGGATACTTGGATTTTAAGGATCTATGATCCTTAAAGTCTTTCCAAGAACATATTTTGATCGATCAATTATTGGGATTTTGTTACAATCAACTAAAAATCCATATATATCAAAATATTTAATGTCATGGACACAGGACACTATCAATAGTTGAATATTGAATGGTCTCCATAACTAAAAATTTGAATGTTGTCACATAGGTCTCTTATAAAAAAGGTATGAGTAGTGTGGGATAGAAATATTACAAGTTCTATGGTTTTTTTTTTTTTTTTTTTTTTTTGATGGTTTGGGATGACTTGAAAAAAAAAAGAGGGATGGAAAGATAGAGATCCATTATACCCCATCTGAAATATTAAACTGAACTTGAAAATTACAGAGAAACAAAAAGGATATATTACCATAAACAAGCCTCTAATCATTTCGTCGGTGTAGTATTTGGGATCTGATTCTTGACGAGATAATAGCACTTCAATCATCGTCTTCTTCTTCTTATCTCTCGATTTTCTTAGTTGTTCGATCAAACCTTGAAAAAACACATCCCTCTTTTCTTTCAACACAAGCAATTTCTTCTCCAATCCCTTCCCTCCCAACCAACTCAAAATCGGCAAGTAGTCACCAACATTAGCAGCACCAGAAAGCAAAAAACTCTCCTCCAGTATCTCCCTTATCCTTTTCCCTTCTTCTTCCAGCTCCAGTGTATCGTCGCCGAAATACCTCTTCCCGGAGATCATCCTCATCATCACATTCAACGTCAGCTCATACAAAACCGACTTCATATCCACCATGGACGAATGAGAAAGCAGTTTCCGTATCAGGATCCTGCCTTCATCGACACGTATATCTTGGAACTCGTTGAGGCGAAGAGTAGAGAGGATCTCATTTGAGGCAATTCGCCGGAAATTGCGCCAGGTATCGCCGTAGGGTGACCAAACGAGGCTGTTGTAGTTGTTGCCTATGATCTTACCGAATAGCATGCGAGGCCGGTTGGCAAAAATGATGTCGTTTTTGGTGAAACATTCTTCGGCTGCAGAAGGGGAGGAGAGCAAGACGACACGGCGGGATCCAAGGCGGAGGAGGAGGATGGGGCCATACTTGGCGGAGATCTTGGCGAAGGTTCTGTATACTGGTGGTTTTAAAAGATATAGGTGGCCAATTATGGGGAGGGTAGGGAAAACGGTTGGTGGAAGGTTGGAGAATTTGCGATGGAGATGGAGTGTGAAGAAGTAGGAGGCCAGAAGCAGTAGGAAGGAGATGTACAGGTATGGAGCCTCCATCGTTGAAGGCTTGAAGCTATTGATGCATGCTTTCATTGGGGATTTGTGTTTTGCTTTTATAGGCCATGCCAGGTAAAACCAAGGTTGAGACTTACAACAAATACCACTTTGGGTTACAAATTACTCAATATTGATTATTGAAGTCCACTTGTGTGTTTATTACTTGTGATGGTTACAGCTTACAAATTACAAAACTCATTTAAATAAGACCACAAAAAGTTAGGAACCTAAAAAGTAAAACTTCAAATTTCATTAAGAAAATGGACAAATAAGATACAATGATTTATTTTCTTTTTGGTTTTTTTAGTAAATATGGCAAAATCGTAGCAAACAGTATTAATAGCTTAATAAAACATTCATGGTTTAAATACAAGGGGAAATAACTTAAAAGGTTAAGATTGTTCACTTTAGTTATTATTATTATTATTATTTGCAAAATACATCATTAAACTTGTTGGTTTTGTTCGCATTACGTCTTTATGGCACGTTGTTCTAGATTTCCGGCAAAAAAAAACAGAACTTCCGGCAACGTTGACAACTCTGACGAGCCTCCGATCATTTTCTCCGGCGAGCCTACGGTCACCACCTTGCCGGAACTTTCACTAATCTATTTGATTTTATAAAGATTATAAAGAAATAAATCAAGCCCAATAAATTATATTCTTCTAAACACGTATCTAACTAAATTCTAGCATATACATGAATGAAAATGGAGACCTGAACCAGGTTCGGCGACTACCACATTCACCGGGCTCCACCACAAATCGTCGAAAAAGTCGAGTCCACCCAAACCCCATAACCATAAAGATTTATAAAACTCCACAGATCAAATACATAAAAGCTTAGGCCACTCAAAATATGAGTCGCATAAACACTTCTAGCACCAGAATTCGCAAAGATTATAATTAATCAGTGCATGTTCTTTGATATTAAAAGGCTCAAGGTTCTCGAAAGTATGTGCATGTTTAACCGGCACAGAGTACTCACATAGTAGTCCCTTGGCATACCTATCGATCTTTGTTAGTTCGTCCGGAACAACACGCGGGGCGAACTCCATTTTGTCAGTGAAAACAAGAGTATACTCATCAACAAACATGCTTCCCTTTTTCAATGTCAGGAGTTGATTCTCTAACTCCAACATGTTCTCAGAAGAGCAGAATTTGTGCTTGAAGTGGGTCAAGAATTCTTCCCATGTTCGCTATATTGGTTTGTTAGGACTTAAAGTTTTTCCCAACGGATCATTGCACCCTTGAATTGCCTTACAGCGTAGATGGTCTGCAACTTGTCCGTGCAACCATATGTTATCAAGGCTAGCTCCATTTCAAAAATACGGTCCATGACTCCTACTGGATCCTCTTTCCCACTAAATGATGACGAATTTCAATTCGTAAAGTCCTTAAACTTGTAGTTGCCTCGGATCATTTCTTCGGACCTCTGGTTTTTTTGGTCCTTGATAACTCTCAGGCTTGTTGTTTCCTTCCTGGATCGTTGTTGCATGAGAAGGAACCGTCTCATTGTTAACTTGGCTGACGACTATCGGTTTGTTGATCACTGGTACTCTTCCCCTATCGTTAGCTAGCTCTTGGGTTAGGAGTTCTCTAAACTCACGCCTTTGCTGATCTAGCATGTTCTGTATCATCATCCGGACTTCATCCATCGTGAACTGAGCAGCTCCTGCTCCGACGTTTTGAGGTGCTAGACCTCCTTCGTTAATAATGAATCTTCAACTCATTGTGATCGTCATGTCATTCTATTCCCGTAGGTTCGAGTAGTTTAGCATAACAATTTACTACTTACTATATTATATATATATATATATATATATATATATATATATAGCAATTTAGGTATCTTCCTATAGTATGTTATTGATTAAGTCTACAGCAATTTAGGCATCTATCCTATAACAACCCAAAAATCATGGATAAAAATTTCATTTTAATTTAATAAAAACCATCAAGTATTCAAAACAACCCCAAACAAAGTATGTCATTGTGTGAACAATCATCAGAGTACAAAATCCAAATCGTAAGAAAGTACAAAACATGGGTGGATGCGTTGTGATCATGTCGGGCCCTTCCCTTTTGAACCAGAAGTACCTAGAACCATAAACATAACTGTAAGCACAAAGCTTAGTGAGCTTCCCTAAAATACCACATACAATAGACATATGTATGTAACAACACTTGGTTGTGTGAGGTCCGTATCAACCCTATATGACAGCATGTAGATGTGTCGGGTCCATATCAACCCATATGACAACATGTAGCTGTGTCGGGTCCGTATCAACCCAGAGTCCATAATGACTCCGAGCCCATATTGACTTTATATATATCATTCGATCATATCAAACATAGTCACATACATTCAACACATATAAATCAGTGGGACGACATTGGTGCCTTCGACCCACTAGTGTGGTAAGAAGACTCGCCTCTAAATGAAGATAACCGAACCGCACACTCGAGTTGCTGATAACACGGCTCCTCACACTAATTATATCCCAAAAATAACTCTAATTAATAATCTAGGTTTTAAACCATAATAAATTGTCTGATTATTCCGTTATCTTAATAAGGGTAAATACCTGATGGTCATGAATACTATTGCAGGTTGTCTCTTAATCACTCAACATCCTAATCAAGTTCCAGTGCCTTATGTCTTGATACCTATGATGCATATGATTGAGTGGATCGGGTTGGGAAACCTGGAGAGATACATAGGGATTTTAATCCCACGATATTGATATGAGAATATTCCATAATTATCAGACCTGCAAATCAACCGTTACCATACAGTAACCATTGCTACATATCTATTCCTACCGATCCTCACAGATACTAGACTATCCATTTCTACCGATCCTCACAGACCCTAGTATGTGATTATCAGGAAGAAATTATCTCGCCTGATGAATAGTTAAGATTGACTACACCGCTAGGGGCTTCCTTGGTTGGTGTAAGTCATAAATGCTTATGGGTCGTCAGAGTATTTGATGAATATGTTTTTTCTAATTCATCTATGTTTGTGAGTAATGAGCTCACACTAGCAACATAATCAACAAGACCATCTAGAATGATCAAGTTTTGTCACCTACTTTGTGGGGTGACCATAGATACCGCTAACAGTTGCCTGATCGGGACCCACAACATCTGGTCATCCTATACAGAGCTACCATGCATCAACACCTGATAGTGTCATGGAAAAGAACTTTACTCTCCGTGCCTAGGTTACGTGCATTTTCCTAATGAGACTACCTAATATCAAACTTAATTGAGCTAGATATCTTCCATGAGTCTAAGTTTATCCTTAGACTAGATTACAGTGTTTGTAACCAACCTTAATACCAACTCTATCCTTAAGTGACACTAACCTAATTCTAGTGTATTTATAATCCCTACAGAGCATTATGTATTATTATTCTTTTACCTTCTTAGCAATGCTACTTTTAATATTATTATATTATGTTATCTATTTAATCCTAACATAAAATAGAACTGTATTTGGTTCGCACGTAGCATAGTATATATCCTAACATATAATCCAGACATTAAGCATATAATTAACATACGACTTCCAACAGATATTTAATATTTTAATTTAATACTCGTATTAAATCATGTTCATGAAAGGTACTATGCACTCACATGATAAAAAGGGTGACTGATGATTTTGATAGCGCTTCGCTACACCCTTCTGAAGATACCTAGACATAGAAAGCACTAAGTCTTAGTCTAATTTCATAATCCTGGTGACTATAATGATTATAGTCTAGATTCCTCAATAATCTCAATGTCTACATCAAGATCTAATTAAGGAATAACCAGGTAGGATCATATCGGAGGTAGGGTCCGTTTGGCATACAAAGTATGTTATTTGGAACTCCCCACTTTAAACACCTCACTAAATCTAGCCTAGACATCACTCCCGTAAGTAGATCAATCAGTATAACGACATGGAATTACTGATAAATATTATTTATAGGTTCATAATAACAACTTATGACCATAAATATAAGTTACACTGAAAAGATAGAGTGTAGCTTAGCTTACTGAGCTTTTTAGCGGAAAGCTAGGAATTAAGCGGGCAACATTCTGATCCGGTAGCTTCTATTCACTAGCTATCTGACACCGCAGGGCTTCTACTTGATAGCTACTACTACTTCATATATTGCATGGCTTCGCTGAAGCCTAAAACTAAAGGAAAATGGGGTTAAAATCGAAGGAAATCGAGAGAGAAAGTGTGGGCGGTGTGAAGGAGAATGAGGTTGAGCACATCTATTTATAGCCCATATGCACGACATGCATGAGGCGTGCGCCGCACACTCCATCCACGTCGATCCTCTCGTTTTGAAATACGTGTCAGGTCCAGATTTGTCAGTGTCCCTATGTCGGCAGTCTTCTGCGCGTCGTGCCCCTCGCGCACACGCGTGTGGATTTCTGACATTTCAAAAAATCATTTCTTTTTCATACGAGCTTCGTTTTCGACATTCTTTATATCTCCGGAAAGCACTCAATGAGATGTACAACTTTCGTTTAGACTTCGTTGGCTAATTTTGACTTTATTTTTTTAAAGCTATTATTTTAAAAGGCTTAGACTATTAAAGTTCGTTAAAAATTCATAACTTTTTCATATGATATTCGTTCTCGACTGTCTTTATATCGACGGAACCATATGGAAGAGATCTTCAACACTCATTTGGATTGTTTTTCCTAACAATCAATGGATCTCTACTTTAGTTTATGAGTCGTATACTGCTGAGCTGAAATTCGAAAAATCATAACTTGCTCTGATGAAGTCAGATTTGGACGTTCTCTATATGCACGATCTCGGTTTTTAATGACTACTATGACTTTTGTTTAGACCTCTTAGGCTAAAAAGCAATTTATCAAAAATTCACTTTTTACGTTCCGCAGAGTCGTGTCGGTTTAATCGCGAAATTTCGAAGAAGCATAACTTCTTCATACGAAGTCGGATTTTAGCGTTTTTTATATGTACATAACCCTTGTCACATACACTATAACTTTGGTTAAGGTGATTTATCCTAAATAACCTTCTATCAAAAAGTTATTTTTATAGCTTA